GAAAGTATCAGAGCTTGCATTTTCCTGTTCCTGCTAAAAATTTCTTGCAATTTACGAGAAAAACCGAAAGGCAGCTGTATCCTATTATGAATAATATAAATAGTATATATAGAACAAGCTCTCCAGCTATGCGACTGACAACTTCTTCAGTTGCTTTGACTAGTGCTGCATCATCTAGTAGTCACTCTGTTGGCAGTCTTAATGCTCCTTAGTCTCTTAAAGGAAATATGAGCTCAGCTGTTTTCTGGCCGGAGCACTTTGTTGCAAAAGGAACAAGGTGTTGACAGCAAGAAAACAAAGCACCTCTTCGCCTTGCCCAGTTGCCCTTCGATTCCAATGTGATATGCAAATGTCTCGTCTCCTGATTCGAGTTCTTTCCTCCGTAATACATGATGATGTGTTTATAAGTGAAATGATGATTGTTTCTCTGCGCCAAATAATTGTGCGACAGCAGCTTGGAGCTTCCCGTGGTTTCATTTTTCTGTTTTTTCCTTGTTTCTTTTTTTTTTTTTTTTTTTGAATAAATCATTGTTTATTGGTTTGGACGAGTGCCGCCTCCCCCCGCAACCTCACAGTAGCACTCCCTACAGCCGCACGAGCATTCGGCTCTCCGCGCGTTACAACTTAGTAAAGCTTTTGTCATTTGAAATGTTACTGGTATTTATATTAAACATCACCATTGTCTCGAATATTGCCGCTGCTAAACCACGATATGGTACCTGCCGACTTCGAGTGGTACTAAAATTTTAATGGAAAATAGATTTTTGGAAGGGATGGCCTGCTGTTTTTAAAAAAAGTATACACTGACCGGTAAATTTTGTCATTGCAGGTGTCTTGTACGGCACAAATTTTTTTTGAGACGGTCTGGGACTTGTTGGGGAGGGTCAGCAAAGCAAATGCAAATGCGCTTCCTCGTTGCTCACCAAAATTTCATCGTTTGTTTTAGTGGCACGATCCATCCCTACTTTTTCGTCCCGTACTAGCTTTCCCAATAGCGCGTATTGTTAAATTTTGCTCTTTTTTAGTCTCTGTTAGTGAAATAAGAAAGATATATTTTTTGGGACTTTGACTAGCTGTTGTTTCATTGTCGCGTTTTATCTTACTACCCCCATTTTATTTTTGATTGTCATCATCACATCATCTCTTATTTCCTTCTAACTATACGTATATTTTTTTTAACTATACATTCTTACTACTCCCAGTTATTCCTCTATTCCCCCTAACTATACCTGTTCAAAGCGCATAATACGCAAAATGCCTGAGGCAAAATATCTGTTTCTTCTCTCTCGCGCTTGCTATACCATTCTCATAATTCATCAGAAAACTCGCTTTCTAAAGCGGTCTTCGAAATGCTTGTGAATGTTTTTTTTTTTCAAGCGCAGAAATAGTGGAATGCCAGCTTTACGAAAGGACGGTTTTGAGGATGCTGTTGTACCGGCATTGGGTTTGTACCTCTTTTAGTAATTTTTTTTTTTGATTTTTTTTTTAAACAAATTTAATCAGATGCCTTTTTATCTTGTAAAAGTTCCTGGTATCACTCAATGTATTATCACTCTTTTACATATTCAGAGTAAAGAACTAATATTTAAACGAAAAGAAGTATTTTTACCCTTAATCCTTGTTTTGTACAAATATGTTTGGGTTTTTACTTTTTTATTAATTTCTTTTCTTTCGAAGAATTTGTATCAGTTGTAATTCGTAGTTTGGTTTTTCAGCTATGCAGCTTGCAACTTCTCCAGTTGCTTTGTCCAATGCTGCGTTGTATGCTGTATCATCTAGTGGACATACCACGAGATATTTTAGTATTTCTTGTTCTAGGAGAAATATCTTAATATCTTGCTAGCAAGAAGGGAGGACGAGGAGGAGGGGGTTCTGACTTATCTTGAACAGGTTTTGAATATGTGTATTTCAGAAGCATTACTTTCGGATCTCCAGCATACAACGGAGGTGCTGAAACGGGCCAAGTTGAGCGATCGTAATCCACCATCTGATGCACATGATCTGGAGCCCGTTTACCAAGAGCAGACAAGGAGGTATTTTATTTTGCTTACTATTTCACTGTATATGTCATCTTCTCAGTTGTAATCGATGAAATATTACCGCTTGATTAAAATAGATATTGAAAGAATGAAAGCTGATCTGCGAGAACCAATGAAATTACAAAGTGAACTAAAATTTTGATCGAAAAATTCATCAAGAAACAAAACTCGAGCAACAAAATTCAGGCAGAAATCATCAAAAAACAAAAATTCAACAAAAACGAGAAACAAATTTTTTAATTTTTAAACATTTAAATATCCTGTATTTTAACATTTTTATGATTGACAGAAATAATGAGATATTCCATGTTAGTGATGTTACTGTGATATCCCCGCGCGCCAAGCTTAGCTGTGCCAGATTTTTCAATCCTGAGCTCCATCCCTTCGCTTAGTAACCATCATCTGTTAGTGTATATGCGCCACTTCATTGAAGCTGTTGTAACATTTGAACTGAAGCTGTTTCGCAAAAGCAGCAAGGGCATCTCCACTAATGATCCGAGCAATCCTGGCAGTTTTACTGGCCGTTTTTTATGTCGACAAATGGCCCTTGAAGAGCTGAGGGCAGAAAAGAGGAAGTGAGAAATCTGAAAATAACTCCCTGTCCGCAGTGAGTTATACCACCCCTACTGCGTCTAATAAAAGTACGATTTTAGTTATAGCAGTTCGAGACATGGCCTGGAAAGTATTGAATTGATGCTGGACGATTATTCTCAGAAGAGAATGAGTCCTCGAGGTATTTTTTGCTTTTATGTTATTTTCAACGAGCACTGAAAAATTTCACCTTAAATACCTTAATTTCACCGTATATTTCACCTTTTTTTGAATAAATACCGTACAGATGAGCTTTCCCATAGCTTGCTTGTGAGTAATTCTCGAAAAGAAAGCTATCGGCAATTGGTTGCTATAGACATTTGCTACCAGTTAGGCTATTTTCGAATGCCTCCACCATTTATAGTGATCGAATACAGAAAGGCTTTTAACTTTGCTTTTTGACATGTTACAGACGAGCGTTCTACAAATTCAATATCAAGCCAAGCCGAGAGGCCGACGGTACATAGCCTGATCAACGAGCTTGAACATGACAGGCAAGCAAGCTTGTCATTTTTGCAAACTCTCACAGTGGTCTGCGGGTAGTTTGAATTTAAATCAAAGGATTATGAACTTTAATTTTTGCTATTTTCTGCAAAAATGCTCAATTTTTTTAGGTTTTTTTTGGCGCCTTACTGAATCACTTATTTTTTTATGCATAGGATGGACTTTCGCCCCAGTTGTGCATTCCTGCAGCTCTCTTTATGCATAGGATGGCATAAAACAGCCATTTTTGTAAAGTTGGTGTAAGTACGTAGTGAAAGCGATAGTTTTGATTGCTGTAATCGCCATAATATCTTACCGAACAAGTGAAGAAGATCGTTGTTCACCTTTGGGTTTAGTTGGTTTGCTTATTTTGGCTTTTACATAGAATCTTCCCAAAGTTTGGATGTCTTCTTCTGCCTCCCACTCCTCAAAGCCTTCCGGAAATTTGGGTTCCTTTATTTTAGAGAGAAAAGTGAATAGTTATAAACTACAAAGAACCACAGGCCTGGCCAAGCTGCGCATAGTACCGAAAATTCGGCACTGATGGTTTTCTCTTAATTTTTATCGCCATTTTTGCCTAATTTCTGGAAATGAATTGCCCGTTTTTTAACAGTTTTACGGCGTTTTGCCCCTTGTTTCAGCTCTCGTAAAAGTATTCAGTCATCGCAATCAAATGGAACACACAGCGACTTGGTATTCAT